ACAAGGCGTGATTTGGAATCGCGCATGTCCACTGTAAGTAAGAACGAGACTATATTCTGATCCAATGTACAGAATATATGAGAAGGACACAGGCACGTTGCAAATCCTCATGCTGTGAACCTCTCCAGCATTGGAAACAGCTCCCAGCCCAGACCGAAACAGAGAATATGATGTTTGGCTCATCTTCAAATTATGTCAGAGAAGGAACGGCTTCGGCAATAGAAAAGAGGCACTTGTTCGGACCCGTCGTTGGCATTACGACGTATTGACGATCATTACTAGTGCTTACTGGCATGGTAGGTCTTCAAAGAGACCTTACACATGCTTCTCTTTTAAGCAGCACCTCTTCGACCGCTGTTATGGATTCGGCATCTGGTGTGACCCCTATGACATCCTCGCACTAATTTGTTTGACCTTGTGTAGTTCATAATGCACATAGTGAGTGTCCTCTTGTCAGACGGGCGAAGATATATATATATATATATATATCGGAGGCGAGATCTTCATGGACCTGCCTTCAACTCAACAACTCAGAGAGCTTGCTGATGATCCCCTTCAACCTAGAACGAAGTATGGACTCCCGAGGTGGGAAACTCCAGGGTGAACCGCTCAATGATGTTTGATTTTAAATCACATTCACATCGTTGGCTGTCCAAAGACGACAAGGCGCGATCTTACAACATGAAGTCATCACGCTCGCTATTGCTTGTACAAAAGATGCAAACTCCGCTATTGAGGTTGAAATCGGTCTGGAGGCTCTCGAAGCAGATTGCGTCTATTCAACGGTGGATGTATCTTAGTAGCCATTGAGGTCTCACTGTGGAGAGCTCTCAAGTATCTAGGTTTCCTACAGCAGCACCTATAATTAGTTGTTTGCAGGGAGTATCTACGGATGGGCTGGCCATACCGCCACCGCATAGTGGTACCCGAATCCAAGGGTGTCTCTTCAGCTACACTACTAAAAACCCCCACAGCATAGATGTAGTGGCGGATGTGTTACTCAACAGCAGGCTGAGGCCTGCAAGGCAAAGCCCCGAAGATCTCATGCATATTCTCCTGCTATCATGCTGCCCTGAACCCAGTCGAGCCAGGACTCCGGAATCCAATTGCATGGTTGCCACATGGATGTGGCTGTGCACCGGGAGTTTTCGATCCAGGGGCACCACCCCAAGTCCATCTGCAGGTCGGGCGGCACCGCCAGCCCCCCGGATTTGCTGGACTCCAACCCATCAACGCGCAACCTTTTAGCAGTGAAACCTCCGCCTCCCATCAACTTCCAGACCGTTTGTTCGACACTGACAAATCGACGATTCGAGTCACCATTTGTCCATGACGGCCTCCGGTGCTACGTCATGAGTGATGTGTGCAGAACAGCACAGCCGAGGAGAGCCAGCAGACGTCTCGATACGTGCACACCTCTCGGAGGTACCTGTGGCGGATCTTTCGGGGATAACGGCGCACCATTGGTGAGGACCGATTCTCCGGGTTCACACCGTTGGGCTGGCTACCACTGGAATTGATGTGCATTACACCACCATTATTCACGTCCAGCCAATCTGACCGAGAGCATGCTAAACTAGCCAACCCTGCCAACACATGTAGGGACCAAACAAGGACTCCTGAATTCAATCCCGTGGCCCTTCCACCCTTGATCTGGTAGTACCGCCGCAGGTCCATCCAACAACGTTCAAATACCGCGAGGCGCCCTGCGCGAGCCCAAAGGCCTCGGATGAGTCACTGGGAAGTGTCATCGCCCGCTGACAGACCCGGTAGATGGTCATCTCGAGCGTGTCCCTCCCCTGGCATCCATGCTACCCGAAATCACCGAGCGCCACAGGCCTCTGTCGCGCGTCCTTTGGCCACCCCGTCAGTCCGTCCGAAGCCTCCAGCCACCGCATATGCGCATGGAAGGGACAAAACCAGCCATAGGGAGTGAGTCTATTGAACGGTCCTGCTGAGCCGCTGGACTGATAATGCACCGGGCGGTCCCTGGTCGGCGGTGAAGGAGTGGGCAGCGAGGGGCTCAAGTGATCCCTGCGGAGCTGGACGACATGTCAAGATGCGACGTCGAGCGGAGGCTGAGCAGGCACCAGCAATGGCGACGATGCACCGTCGATCGACGATCAAGATTTTGGAAGCCCTCGCATGTGGTTGGCTTGTTTGTAACGGGGACCTCTCCCGGGAGTCTGGCTCGGGCGCAGCGTGAGGCATATTGCCACCCCAGCAGGCAGTCACATGCTCACGCGTACGTTTCGTTCCACCACCGACGTATCATGTCGTCGTCTCCGGATGCTGTGACTCCAAGTGTGCACGCCCTGAGATGGTCGATCGATGCCGCCTCACTATTTGAAGTGAGCAATCCGGCCCGCTGGAAAGGTGTCTGTCTATTCTGAGTCACAGCTGACGGACGACGGGAGCCCTGCGCGGACTTCCTGCCTGGAGATGCTGCAACGCTTGAGCAACACCTACGCACACGCCCTTGTCAAAAGTTAACACGCTCGGTACACGATTCGAGCCTCGCCCGGGGAGTGATGTCCCCAGACCGTGCTTCGCACTGGACGCCTTCCACGACCTTTGAGGTAGCCAGATGGTCCCAGTCACGTGGTGGCTGGACATGTGTCTGGAATCGAAGCAGATCTCAACGAGCATCAGCCAACAAGGACGTAGGTAGGTGAATGCGATGTCGAGTCACAGATTTGAGACGGCGTCAGTACCATCGTCGCTCGTGCTGGCCATGTCCCCCGAGCACGGCTCATGACTTGCCCTGCACGACGTGTCACGCGGGCCTTGGTGACAGCAGCTCGCGTGGGCTGCCTCTCGTTGACGGCCGGCCTTGTGTTCAAAAATTGACGCTGGAAACGATGACTCTCCCTGTTACTCACCCCAAGTCATCTGGTCTGACCATCCTCAGTGTCTGTAAAGGATCTGCCCTCGAGATTGATGCGTGTTTGAGTGACATGGATGCTGTCAGTGATTCACGTAGAGAATGGTTCTGCCTGAGAATTCCTTGGACGGAATGGTGCGTACGTATCATCCTTTCAAGTTCCTATCTCTTCGACTGATGCATCTCGCAACGGCCAACCGCGAAACCAGATTTGGATGGTTCACCTGGCTGTCCGTGGATATCCACCATGGAACATGCGTAGGGACACTAATATTATGGGACAGCGAATGTTGTATGAAACGTAGACTCCTGTGATTGTTCAGAGAGCAGAGAAAACACCAACATCCGCAGTGGCCAGACTTGGCTCCTGGTTCCACATGCTCTGACGGCTTGTTACGCGCGAATCTCCCCCTCTCCCACCTTCCAAGACACATTGAAGCGGCACCTTACACCTACAGAGTTCAGAATAGTCGGAAACTTTCATGAGGATTCCGAGGACAAGTATTTGGCTGTTGCTGTTGATGTGCAGCCCGTGTTGAAGTCTGACGGGATATCATGTGGCCCTCGGGGTGGAAATGAGGTTGGGTCTTTGTAAGTCCATTGGTCCACAGACCCCGCTTGCTCTCCTCGCTCGGCCTCGAAAATCTCTGCTCCGAAAATCCCTCACAGCCCTTACCAGTTCCTCTACACCGCTTCAATCTATCATAATTAAGTCTTCCTGTTCGAAAATCATCCAAGCGGGGATGGCTCAGTGAGTATTTACTTCCCCTAAGAATTGCTTAAATGCAGTTCTGAAATCCAAGTTGAACTTTCACTAATCAAACACAAAGGTTGGGAGAGCGTCAGACTGAAGTTTCAACTCCAGTTTCAAATCTGAAGGTCCGCGGTTCGATCCCGCGTCACCGCATCACACTCCCCTACCAGAGGGAGAGTCAATTTTTTTGCTTAGGTGCCGCAAACAAGTCAATTAGAGATATGTAGTAAAATGCTGTCAAGGTCCTTGATAGTATCAAAGTAATCAATCTTCCTCTGGCCGCTCCAACTTGTGTGGCCCATCCATCCATTCTCGTGTCAGTCGGCATCCGATCCAACCCACAGTTGTAACCCTGGCCTTATAAGCATCAATCCACGCTCAGAGGGTGTGGGTGCATCCATTTTCCTTCGGACCTAAGTGGTTATGAGCCCGGAGTCTCTTTCTCTAAGTATGCATGTAGCCGTTCAAAGGGGGATCTGAGACAACCTCCAGTTCGAGCCCGGATCAGAGCAAAAAAGGACTTCACAGCAAGGGGAAGAGCCAGAGCAGGGATATTCAACTTACAAATTAGATTTTGCTGCCCACATTCATACAGACTGAATATCTCACCCGGTCCCAAATTCAACAGTTTGAAATGTTACCGAATGCGCCGCATGCGCTCCCTCATAGGATGTCCGGTGCATTCCATTCCTTGATAGTCCCCGCCGAAATCGAACCAGCTCGCAATCTGATAAATGGGACAGATGCACACTTTTGGCTCTCGGAATCGTCTTAATAATGCCTCGATGCAACCTTCGTCGTCGGAAACGGAATACCTGCTGCTACCGCCCGGCAGCCCCGATATTTGACGAAATCCGGAGGATTGCACCCCGGCCAATCCCACTTCTCCTTTAAGTCCGGCTGGGAGGATCAGCTTCCTCCGACCGAGCTTTCCTTCTAAGGAAATTTCATGCTCCGCTGCGTCCGGCGCGGGCTTAGTGACAGGAGATAAGTCGTTGTACACTCCGTCATCTCATCTGCTTATGCAGAAATAGTGCTACGGAATCGATTATGGTGTGAAGCATCCTCCATAGTGAGACGGCAGCATTTATCAGCTTCTTCCATGATGCGCATAGCGTGGATAGTGCATCCCCCGGTATCACGACTTGGTCCGAAATCCATTCGATGTGTGTAGATATTCAAAACTGAATGACTTTGCTGGCCAACATCTGTTGCTATAAAAGACGTACTTGCTGCCTTGTAGTTGAGTATAACGACCATCATCTCCGCCATCAGCGCTGTTGGAAATACGCATCTTTTTAAGAGCACTCCTCAAGATTCTGATTCTCTTACGATACGCCAAATATCCGATCACCTATCAAGATGGCTCCCGAGTACGCCAGAGACCAGCCTGGAGGTTTCAGCAACCGTATGGAGAAGGTTGCGATCGTGGGTGTAGGTTTTCGAACCTATTGAAAATCGTATGCGTAATCTCGTGACTGACACCATGTGCAACCAGGCTGGAGGCACGCTGGGCAAGTACATCGCCCAGGAGCTGGTCAAAACAGGGAAACACGTCGTGACGGCCCTCACTCGCTCTGGGAGCACAAACAAGTTGCCCGAGGGCGTCAATCCCGTCACCGTGGACTATGACGACGAGACATCTTTGGTCGAGGCTATGAAGGGACACCAGATCCTGATAATTACCCTGGCCGTTAGCGCACCTCCTGGAACACAGAGCAAACTCATCAAAGCAGCGTCAAAAGCTGGCGTTCCCTACGTCATGCCCAACGCGTGGGGGACTGACCCCTTGAACCAGGAGCTAATGCAGGACACCTTCTTCCAGAAGCCTTTTGGTGAGCAGCGCACCGCGGGTGATGTCCAGCCTGTTGACCACCGCTAACTCCACATGCAGCCGACGCTCGTGACGAGATCGAGTCCCTCGGGGTGAGCAAATGGATTGTCCTCTCATGTGGCTTCTGGTACGAGTTCAGCCTCGGCGGCACGGAAGACCGGTACGGATTTGATTTCCAAGACCGCTCCCTCGTCCTCTTCGACGATGGCGACACAAAGATCAACACCAGCACGTGGGCACAGTGCGGCCGTGCCGTAGCTTCCTTCTTGACCCTCAAGCTGCTACCCGAGGACGAAGGCGACAAGAGCCCCGCCATCGAGAACTGGGCCAACAGGGCCTTCTACGCCTCGAGCTTCCTCGTCAGCCAGAGAGATATGTTCGAGAGTGCCAAGCGTGTCACCGGCACGACGGATGCCGACTGGACGATCAGCCATGAGCACTCGGGAGAGAGATACAAGAAGGCAGTTGATGATTTGCAGAAAGGGGACGTGAAGGGTTTCGTGCGACTGCTGTACACCCGCGTGTTCTTTCCAAACGGCGATGGGGACTATGAAAGCAGCAAAGGTCTACAGAACGATGTTCTGGGCTTACCGAAGGAGGACTTGGACGAGGCTACGAAAGAAGCAATTCATCTGGCCTTGAGTGGAGGGCTGGAAGCTAGATATTCAGGGGTGGCATCTAGGAGTAGCTAAATTGTTTTGGGACGAAACGGCACCGAGTGTAATGCAAAACGCCTTTGAGGGTGAGGAAACACAGCTGCGGAATACAGTCAGTAGTAAATATTGATTTAAATACTCGCTTTTCGATAAACAGTGGCCAAGTAATGAGTTACGGTAGAGAAACAGTTTTGCTATTGCACGCACATCCCTAACCCTGGTTTGCAACCACTTTTTAAAATGCTTAAATAGCTAAATTTCTTTTATTTCCTTCTTTTAAACTACTCTTAAAAGATAAACGTTTTTATAATTATACTTTTAAACCCCTTATAATATTTATAGCCTTTTATAATTATAAGCTTAATTTATATAAAATAATCTTTTCTTTTTATAAGCTATAAATAAGTTATATAAAGCATATCTTAATTATATTTATTTTATATTATTTATTTCCTTTTATTTTTAAGCATATATTTATATAATAATTATAAACCTTTTTTTAAATTTTATTAATTAAGTAATTTATTTAAATATTTATTTCTTTTTTATTTAATTTATTATATTATAATCTTATTATTAAATTAAAAGATATTAAAAATTTATAAATCTTAATATATTAAATATAATCTTTATTAAATAATTAAATATAATCTTAAAATTAAAATCTTAATTTATATAATATAAAAAAAAGAAAAGAAATATTTAAAAAGCTTTATATAATAAGTATTAAGAGCGTTTAAGTAATAATAAGCTTTTAAAAAATAAAATAATACTTATTTCTAATTTTTTTATTTTTTAATAAATTAAAAAAGAGATATAATTAATATCTTTAATAATAAGTTATTTTAGCTTTTAATAAGATAATTAAATTTAATAAAAAATAAAAAATTTAAAAATAAATATAAAAATAATATTTAACTTAATTTTCTTTTTATATTTAATTAAAATAATAAATATAAGATAATTTTTTATTTAATAAGTAATTTAAAATATTAAAAATAACTTTATATTTTTTAAATTAAGTATAATAAATACTTTTTAAACTTAATATTAATAATACTTAAAAAAAGTAAAGAAATTAAGTATTAAATTATAATAATAATATTAAAACTTTATAAATTTATATTTATAAGCTTATATTTATAAGTTATTTAAAATTAAGGAATTTATTAATTTAAATAACTTTTTATAAATAATTATAATATATATTATTTTTAATTAAGTAATTTTTAAGTATTAAGAACTTATTAAATAAAATATATTAAGGAATTTAATTTATTCCTTAAAAACCTTATTTAAAAAGTTAATGGCATTTTTATATTATAATAAGCTTATATTAATTTTTAAAAATATTATAATATTTATTATATTAAAATTAAAAGTATTTTTTAAAATAAAAAGTAATTAATTAAGAAAGTAATTAAGAAATAAAAATATATTATTTTAATTATATTAATAAAATAAAATATATAAATACTTTTATTAAAAAATTAATTAATAAAAGAAATATATTTAACCTTTTATTAATTATTATTATATTTATTTTATGCTTTTAAGGAAATAAATCTTTAAGTTAAAAAGATTTTTAAAAAAATTTAAATATAATAAGATTAAAATATAATTATAAGAAAATTATTATAAGAATTTAATTTAAAAGCTTACTTAAAAAAACCTTTTACTTAAAGATTAAATATAAAGCTTATTAAGAATATTAAAAACCCTTTTAAGCATATTTTTAAAAGCTATTAAAGAATAAAATCTTAATTTTTTTCTTTTATTTTATTTTTCTTTATAAAATAAATTTATACTTTTTTAAACTTTTTTTAAAAAAAAATTAATTAATTAATAATACCTTTATTATATTTTTATTAACTTTTTATTAATTTATTTATACTTTAATTAATTTATTATAATTATTAATTATAATTAATTTCTTAAAAATATATATAATCTTAAATTTTATATTATATTCTTTATCCTTAAATATAATTTTAAATAATTATAATATTATTTATTTTATTAACTTTATTAAGTATTTAATTTTAAATATTTTTAAAAAAGCTATTAAAATAAATATTATTAAAATAAAAACTTTATTTTTAAAGATTTTAAGTTATAAAATAAAGTGCTTTAAAAATATATTATATAAAATAAATAAAAAAAGAATTAAGAATTTAATTTTAAAAAATATAATAATTATAAATAAATTTTATATTAATATAATATTAAAAGCGTTTTTATAAAAATTAAGCATTTAATATTATAAAATTAATTTAATATTATACTTTAAATTACTTAAATAAAGCATTATTCTTTTTAAATTTATTTAATAATATAATTTAATTTTTCTTAAATATATATTATTATAATTTCCTTATTTTTACTTTTTATTATAAAAATTTATAAGTATTATAAATATATATAAGTTTATAATTTTTTTAATAAATTTAATAAAACCTTTTAAGCCCTTTTAATATTTAAATAAAAATTAAAAAAATTTAATAAATTTTTAGCATTTTTAATTTAAATACTTAAGGATTAATATTTTTAAATTATTAATTTAATATACTTAAGGTATAAAAATTAAGGAAATTAAATAAATTAATTATAAAAATTACTTTAAAGTTTTTATTAAAAAGATAATTTAATATAAGTTATTAAAAAGTAAAAGCTTAAAATCTTTTTTTTAAATTTTATAAAACTTTTTTTATTATTTATAAGCATTAAATAAGTTAAATTATAGGCTTATAATAATAAATAAGTTCTTAAGATTTATTTATATTTTCCTCTTTATATTAAAAACTTAAGAATAAGTATTTAATATTTTTTATATTTATAAAAGTTAAATAAAATAATAATATAATTTAAATATTTATAAAATTAAAAAAAATACTAAGGTTATAATAATTAATTAATTTATAAATATAAAATATATTAAATAATATTAAGTAAAATAAAAGGGTATTAATTTAAAACTTACTTTTCTTTAAATCTTAAAAATAAATAACGTTATAAAAAGAGCTAATAAAGTAATAATTAAATATATCTTAGCTATATTATTAAGAATTAATTTACTTTTTAATCTTTAGCTAAAGATAATATAAGTTATAACTTAATTATATAATATATTGCTTACTTTAAGAAAAAAAAAGCGCGTTTTAAATACTTTTTTATATATATAATCTTTTTATTATTTTTAATAATTTAAATTAACTTAAATTTACTATTTTATAATTTATTTATTATTTTATTTAAAAAATATTTATATTTATAAATATAAAGTATATATACTTAAAAAAAATATAAAAATAATATAAAGAAATGCTTTATAAAGGGGGAATTAAGGGCTTATATTAAATATTTAATTAATTATATAATATTTAATATTTTTTAAATTTAAATTTCTTTATTTAAGTAAATTATTTTTATAAGAAATATATAATTTAATAAAAATATATTTTATAAATTAATAATAAATAAAGTAAAAAATAGCCTTTTAATTTTTAAAATAAAATTATTAAATATTAAAATTATTAATATTAAAAAGATTTAAAATTATATTTATATTATATCTTTAATATTTTATATAAAAAATAACTTAATTAATTTAAATAATAAATTTAATATTTATTTTATATTAAAAAAGAATAAAATTAATACTTTTAATTAAAATTTAAAAGTAAAAACTTTTAAATTTAAAAAATAAAGTTTATTATATATTACTTTTTTAAAAAGCTTAAGAAATTAAAAATAAAAACTTTTAATTCTTAAAAAGATTTTAAATATATTAAAATAAAGCTTTTATAAAAAGAAATATACTTTTATTAATAAATTAAAAGCTAATAAATTTAAATCTTTTTTTTTAAAAATTATATATATTTAAAGCTATAAAAAATTAAAAATTCTTTTAATTAATAAAAATAAGGAAAATAAAGGAATAAATTTAAGAGTTTAAACTTATAAAAAAATCTTTTTAAATATATAATTAAAATAAATGCCCTTAAAAATCCTTTAATTAATTATTATATTTATTAAATATAATTGTTGGCTGGGTTAACGTACGTTGGTTGATAGCAGACTGGTTATATTCAAATCGGCTATGGTGTGGAGGGTAGGTTGCAGCGAAGCTGCAGCCTTCCCTCGTCTGGCTATAGGCTAGCTATGGTGGTCCGTACGTGGGGCACGTGACCGCCAGCTGGCAGCCGGCTGGCACCGGCTAGCAGCTGCTATCGATAAGACTAATCTAAACCTTGCACCTCCAAATCTATGCATTGCCTGCAGCGCACTTACTGCGTGGGCACGCTGCATATAATGCCCATACGTATTATTCCCATATTAACAGTCTTTTATATATGTATGTGCATACGCTCCAAAATCGTGCTTTTCCTCCAAATCATTGCTCAGCCAATTAAATTGCTTGATTAACGTGAATATCTTATCCTTTAGGGGGCTATAATAAGCTAAGTGCCTTATAGCTATTGCTTTAATAAATTAAGTGCAAGTATTTAAGTATAAGTATGCTTAAATATTTTAAATGCTTAAATTGCTTAAAATCACTTAATTAAATTGTTTAATTACTAATACTTTAAAACTTTAAAGTATTTAAATGCCATGCTTTAATTAATTAATTATTACTTTAGCAGCTTCTTTCTTTTTATTATTAAGTTAGCTAAGATATTTAAGGGATAAATTAAGCCTAAGCTAATAATAGCTATTATCATTATGTTTCTTAATAAGGAGGAGGTTATTATTGCAAAAGAGGTTATTATTATAAGGCTTATGCTAAGGGCATTGCTAGTTAATAAAGAGGTTATAATTAATAAAAAGGAAGAGGTAATTGCTTTATAATGATTGGTTTTATTTTAATTGGCTTAGGCTTTTTTTTTTTAAAAAGCTTTTGCTAATGGTTATATGCTTTTAATTATAGGTAAAAAGTTATCATTATAAACTTTTCTTAAGGCTATTTAAGCATTTTTAGCTAATTGCCTTTATTATTAATTAATAAAGCAATTAATGCTTTAACCATTAATATATAA